AATGACTTGCAGATGCAACAATTGTTATTTTTTTACTAGCTCCTTAAGTTTTATTTATAAACTGCTAGGGTGTGCTTTTAGATAAACAGAACAATGGCTTTTCTCTGTAAACACTGGAAATTACTCTGCCAGTTAAGTACAATATGCTATGGTATAGTGGAAAATTGAAAAGTATCATTTTAAACTTACGTCCCTGGCATCTTTTCAAAAATCTCTTTGCTCGTTTTACTTCGCATGGGGCGCTTCAGCTTCAACGTTAGGCATATGACTTTGATAAAAAAAAATCAAGCTCTACTTGGGGCTTCTCAGCCAGTTTCATCCTAGTCGTATGACCAGTACTTTTTATTATTACCACTTTGCAATAAATAGCACCATTTTCAGTATAACACCAAATACTAAATCGTTACTACTCTTCCTTTCGGTTTAATATCTTTACTAATTATCTTCTATCGTTGACTGCCCTTCAAAGGTGTTTCTAATTTTATTTGTCAATAAAACAACAAAGGCAGAAATCGTGATCTTTTTTTAATAGCAGTCACAATAAGCTGTCAGTATCATAGCGAAATATTTTTGCCCGACATTGCTGAACGAAGCTACTCCTATTTTGTTCAATAAAATGCATGGATTGAAACCGCAGTGTCTCTGTTTTTCTTGTAATCGGTGGTCTTGTATCCCTTGTTCATGCCATCCTAAAATCAGCCATTGTAAAAGTTGGCTCTACCTTTTCATATGCAGATGCCGCGTGATTCCGTAAGTGTTCCGGTGGAATTGGTTTTTTTCATAATCTTTGTCCGGCCACTGGCCTGTGTGGGGTTCGACGGCTAACAATTGGGGACAACAGTCGCCACTGTCGCAACAGCAGCGCCAACGACGGCGATACCGAAAGCGATAGAACTACGAGCGGTAGCAATTTGATCCTTCAAATTCAAATCTCGCAGTTGCCTAGTCATGATTATCGTGGACGTTGTTTCCACCGCCAGAGTCGTCACTAGCCCATGCCTTGGCGCTGGCTGCGGCGGTCGTGTCACTTGCGTGACACTGGACGTTCACAGTAGACATCATTTACAACGTCATGGACGAGCGAGTCCACGGATTGCGATTGATATTCGATGTAACATAGCACAATAGGACAACAGTTTGATAGAACGGAACTGCATGGACATGGTTAAGAGTGGCAGAGGCTCAAAGGGAGCAGGAGAGCGGGAATTGGCGAAGATGTGGGTGACAACGACCAACTCGCTGGCATAACCGTATCAGGCATTGAATATGACCCACGGTGCAGCCGCAGCAGCACGGTACAAGAGAAAGGAGACAGAGAGAGACTGAAGAAGTCACTGTTATACCCTACAAGCAGACAGAGAGATTTTGCCGCTAGACAAAATAGTAAACGAATATTGTCCGAGATCGCGAAATCACGTTCGCGTGATCCTTTGCTTGACCAGTAAACTGTAGTGTATTAGGTTTCTATACCAGGTGCAGGCATAGCCCGTCGTACTTCCTTCAGGACAACTGTAATTTTAGATAGTGTACGTGATGGTGAGGTATTGCGACACACCGAGGATTAAAGCCGCAGGAATACGGAGAACTACAATATATCGTTGACAGGCTCCACACATGCCATGACTAGTATGATACTCTTGATGCTGCGTCAAACTGTAGTGAGCGTCTTCCTTAGAAGCATACGTCGATATTTCCCTATATCCTTTTTAAGTCAAGAATCAAACTCTATCGGTTGTCGGTGTCCGTAGTGTATCTAAAGGTATAACCTCGAGACATATACGGGCGTATGGGAATTCACGGCCTCTAGCTAGGAGAGAAAGCCAAATCCCTGCCGTGGGCGTCCCTGTTCAGCTCATGCTCGATTTAGCTTTTTTTTTTTTAAGTGCATTCTGCTAGCAATATTATTTTTTAAAAAGTAACACTGCTAGCAGAATTTTAAAGCTTTGGGTTCTGAGTTCCTGCAACGCCGTAATCGAAGAGTAAATGGCGTGAAGTTACAGATTGGGGTTATACAAAGTTCGATCGCAAGAAAAAATTCGACCGTTTCTCTTCCAACTCCTGTTTTATACCTGCGGTAACCGAAGCCGGAACTGACAGAGCGGAATGCTGAATGACCCTAACACATTCAGAGAGTAACCCTGATGGATCAATGGAACAGTCAAAGTAGGCATAACGTCTGTACGAGAGATGGTTCCTGACCCGCGCAAATACATGTATTTTCTGGACACCGTCCGAGCACATCAGAATTTTCACCTAGCAGTAATAGAATGCCAAAATCAAATGTGAAATTCGCTGCCTGCCATAACGATGCACATCGTTGACAAAAAGCTTTGGCTCAAACACCGATAACCGACAAGACTATAATCTGTCTTAATCGATATTAGATGTTTGTTTCTCATTACGCAGTAGCTTTTTAATGACAAAACACTACCTTAGTTGATAAAAGCTCGTCAACAAGATGCCTCTGCGCGGTAAGCTTTACATTTAACATTCTGCCTTACGAAGTTATATAGAACTGTTGATGAGGAATAACACTGAAAAGAGGTATGGCGACATGTCGAGAATAAAGGAACGTGAATCTGCTTCTCTGGAAAGGTCTACGCGTCCCTTTTCAAATTTGCCCTGGACGTTCCATAGACTACACTAGGATGCCGTTCCTTGGAAAAGCTGTTTAATCAACAATTTAGCCAAGTTGTTATGCTATAGAGGGGACGTCTATTGTTTTCATGCGTCAACATCAAAAAAGCGCACCACTCACAGTTATACGCGATTTTGGCCATCACTATAGCATAGGCAGCATGATATAGGTACATGACCTATTCTCGAATGACGTTCTTGACTGGCCATACAATTATGCCATCTGATCGTCGCTGCTGACTCAGCCGACGCTTTTTAGGTGAGTAAATCATGCGTTGACCTTGCTGAGTTGTCGTTATGAACTATATAGCTAGCGGAAACCAACTGAGGTGGCCGCCCCATAAAATTTAGCAGTGCAACAAGCCTATCAACCTTTTCGTGCTTGTTTATATCATTGGTAAGGATACTACACTACGTCTGCAGAAAATCGGAGAGTTTCATAAAATATCAACCACAGGGACTCGGAGCACACATATATATATATATATATCTTACAAGTGACTATGGAGCATATATATGTATATTACATTTTTACTTACTTAATATTACACTTGATAAATTCTGTTTAATAAATTAGTTGCCACGTCTGCCTACGACACCTCAGGTATGCCGATCTTATAGATTTTACATTTTTTTTTACAATTTGTACTTCCAAACGCGTAAACGACCACGTACACAGATAATAAGCAAGAAATGAAATAAGCCTCTTTCAGGGTTCATTAAATGGCATTCTGTAGTTTTGCTGTTAGACTTACTTCCCATCGTAAAATGCGTTACCCTAATGCCCTTAGAAAAAGCAGCGAATTCCTTATATTAGGATCAAGGTGCAGTTGGAAAGGACATCAACGTCAGAGACAGGGCAAACACGGGCGAAAGCTGGCCCATATATTGGCCAATCTGCGTGCCTGAAAAGCGGTAAAATCTCGAAGGGGCACTTAAAGCCCGTTTCCTACCACCCCTCTGCGAACAATGTAACCGAAAATTACTGCACTCGTTTTATATACAACTAGATCGCGTTCCCCAGCCGCTTCTCCTTGTGCGCATTTCTTTCGAAGATTTTCATGTTTCTGATTAACCTTTACTTCAAAAATCGATTCGTCAGGATAGAGGGAAGCAAGGCTATTGATGGAGATTTCGGTGTATCAGAATTGCAGTATGAAGAAAATTTTAAGAGCATGCACAATGCATCTGCCAGTTAAGGATGGTTTATGCGTCTTCTGTAAGGCGTGCGCCTGAAGGCTGAACTGGGCTTTAATTTACGTACTTTCCAGGGCTTCGAGGATGAATAGTGGCAGTCATAAATGAGATAAACATCTCCGTCTAGGACAAGTTTCATGAGATACGAAGCAGTTTTATAGCACGATATAGGCTATAATTTCAACGAATAGATTTAACTTTTGCTTCGTAAGGCCTGGATTAAATGTGCGCCCGTGTTATACTCTATAAGGCAGAATGTATCTAAGATAACTTAAGTGTTACGGTGATTTGGTAAACGAACAAATAGATGGCTGTACGTTGAAGAAACATTGTCAAAAGAAAGAGTTTGATGAATGCTCAGTTGACGCGCTATTTAAAATGTACAAATTACCCTCTTGGAACGTTGTGTGACGCATCGAAATACTAGGCCTATTTTTCCGATGTCGTATCCTTGTTTCGAATATTTTGTTACATGAGTTCGTTTGTCATTTTACAAGCCATACATTGGGTTGTTACCCACGAACGTTGCATGTGAATCCAAAAACCTTGTAATTGCACAAGAAATAGTATTTACTAGCTTTCCAGAAGCTGCGAATGTAGTGAGGACTTGGGGTTTTTCAAAAAAAATAAGCAATAGTACACGAGGCTCAGGATTTCTGTTTCCTAAAAATCTACGACATCGGGTTACATTGTGCTGCCTGGAAACTTCTGATTTAATCAATGCGATTTGAATTTAGCGGTCCTGTTGTTGTCTTTTCCATTCTTTAGGACTTTTAAAAATTTGATTGCTTTCTTTTCTTTTTTTTTTTTATTAATTAAGAGTTACACGTTCTAATGTATCGACACGCTATAATTATCATGCTAGAATAACTAAGAGTCAATTGTAAAATAGAATTAAAATACGCATTGAATGTCTAGTTACGTTTATTAATAGATAAAAAAAAAAAACATTAGGTTTTTTTCGAAAAATTAGAAGCAAATGTTGCGAAATAAAGGGGCGATTGTTAAAAAAAGATGACAAAAAAAACTTAAAATTGCTCTGTTATTGAAATGCGACTTCTGTAACGTCTCTTTTTAAAGTAATTGCTAATGTATACCTTTAAATAGGGTTGTCATACATCGTAGATATGTTTAGTTCTTGTTTGCTTTTGGCACAATAGACCCACCTCGAGGTTCGGTATGATGGTTTTCCCGTGATGTTGTTTGATCTTCGGTGAAATAGTTACCACAATGCCTCGGTAGGCCTTGTCCCTGGGATCGATATGTACTCTCGAGGCACTTGTTCCTGCCCCAAGTAATAAAAGCGCAGCTATCAAGCATAAAACCCACAGAATAAATCGTCCCATCATGGGCCAAATGATGAAGTGTTCGCCTGTGAACAACAGTGTTTCTGAGTTGATTAAAACTGCGACTCCCGATTAAGTTTGTTGGCGACAATCCAATATTGCATTGGCTTTTGAGGAGTGTGTCACTTGTTAGTCCGATGAGCACACAGATAGCATACGATTGCCTAAATTGCTGGATAGATCACTTAACACTCCGAAGATCCTCTAGGACACTCGGTGTTTCTATGATGAGCGCACTTTAGGGTATTCTTTCTCATGAAACATGTGGTCCTATTAGATAGTATTCAGTTGGGTATATGAACTTTCATACACTTGCGATTCACCGAAGCCAGTCGAAATCTAATCACGATCGCGTCCTACGAAGTTCATTATCGGGGTGGACGAGTTTTGATAAGTTCACTGCTGTGCTCAGGAGACGAAGCTGCTTTTTATGCTTAGACTAATCTACACGAGATTCTTCAAGATTAGTGATCGTCAAGAGATTGTTGAACTACGTTTTAATTAAATGCGAAATACGTCAAGTTGAAATGCTAAGCGTTGCTTTTTTTTAGACTATTTTCGGTTTACGATAAATCCCAGCTTAGAGCAGCTTTTTTCGATGGGACAAATTTGTTTTGCTTAAAAAAAAAGACGAAGAAAAGGCTTGTGAATGCATGCATGATGTTTCTTAAGCCGACCGTAACAGCGCAGTTATCCATGCGGTTTCAGAGGCTACCAGTGGCAATCTGTTGATTAGAAGATACCCGGTAGTCGGGAGGCTCAGGGTGGAGAGGATGTAGTTTGTTGGGGAGAGGGCAGTCCGGGGGAGGGCTTGTCAAGCAGAATGGGTAATGGGAAAATTGCTTGTTAGTTCGACGAGTTCTTCGTTCGGGTGTGGGATTCTGCTATTACCGCAGATGTTGCGCATAACATGCCCTATTCCTCATACAATATGATCGAAAATCTGGGTCTGTTTGTATTATACGTCGTCGTTGTTGTCGTCGTCGTCGTCGTCGTCGTCGTCGTCGTCGCTTTCACGTATGGCCTAACCTAAAACGATTAAGGGCAGACAAATAAACTTTGAGCAAAATCCTTTTGATGGGAAGGCGGCGAGAACCTGACTTCTCATTAGTAGTCTTAAACAATGCCGTATGCGCGTAATGCTCTTACGGATATAATTGATAGTTTCTACGGATATCTTTACGCTGTTGTTTCTAGTAAACGTCGCTATTTTCTATAGGTTGCTTGCAAGCCAACTTTTTACCGGTTTAACAAAATAATATATCGTCTATTGGCCTGAGGATCATATAAACTTTTTAAAGACTTGAGCAACGAAAAGGATCGGCGCACAGAAATAGCAGTCCACTTGCATGGACTTAAATGCATCGGATCTGCTATAATTAGTAGGCACGATTAATAGCACAGTTTAACATGATTACGTTAATGTTCTCCGCCATTTTTGTAGATACGACTCACAATGAGGCGCTAAATCATAAGAACTACTACTTTTTGTATGTATTTGTACGTCTCATGGAGGCTACGTTTGATGCTATAGTGTCTGGATTTAAATACACTTTTTAGAAAATTTCAAATAATTAAAGTGATTTGTTGTAAGAGCTTTTTTATTGCCTCTTTTATTTGACTTTTTTTTTTTAATGTTATTTCTTCATTATTGCTTATATTATATTTTAGTTTTTATTATCCTAGTTTAGCATTTGATAAGACTTTCCACTGCTACTATTTCGATTTGGTGTTCTTCATTTCCACTTCTTAAACGACCCTCGCTAAGCAGTTGGTCATACACGAGGGATATTTGCCGCCGACAGTGCAACCTGGGTCTGTGGAGTAAGGTTGAACATGAGAGTACGACAACTTCACCCCGTACAAGCTTCTATAAACTAACTAACTAACTAACTAACTATCTATAAATTTAAATGGTAAACTTCCCAGGGAAAAAAAACATTGCGAAAATATGTATATATATATATATATATATATATATATATATATATATATATAAGAGATTTGCCCATTGCTCCCAAATTTAGTTAGCAGTTCTAGAAAAATTGATGCTTGTTATAATTATTATTATTATTATTATTAAACTGCAGTTTAACTTTACAATTGCTCGTTCCGTAAAACAGCACAATATTTACTAAGTAATTCTTATTATTGTATCTATTATTACGAAGTATGAGTAACCTGCTTAATACAATTCCTTTGAAAAAGATTAGACGTTCTTGTCGGTAAGCTATGTGAAGGGACGGATAGAAATCGTGGGGTCTCTTGTGCCACTACGCTAGGCAAGAAATTGGCACCGGTAGACCAAATGTGAAAGACTCGTGCAGAAACTATTTCTGCTTTTTGACAAAAATTATAGCCACTAAATCGGCGCTACCCGCGCGACCACAGCAACTGAGAAGGTGCCTAGGTTAAGTAAGCACAGGTACAAACTCGGTTATAGACAAGTCTCCATGACCGTCAGTTTGTTATTAACGATGTTATTACAAAGCTTTACGGATCACGGTCTGTGTACCATAGCTGCGGGTAAGAACTCAGTCACCATTGTCATTGTCAATGTAAGCCCTATTACAGTCACCTTACTTCTACCGTATGTGTAGCGGAATATGTTGTTTCGAGCCAGTGCCATCATTTCATCAGAAAATTGTGCCTTGGATACTTGTTTTTTTACGTTAATACGTTATTATTTTCTATTTAATACGTCATATTAATGTAAGTTTGCGTTACCATATTGACGGGTTTGCCTAGCTACGGTGTATTCTCTTTTAAGTTGATGCATGCTGGTATTGTAGGTTTCGTCTCAGATTCTCATAACGGTTGATTTATGGTGAACGTATGTTTAAGTTCAAAAAAGCGCCTATTAGGTTACTTACGAAACGTACATAAAATGCATCTCGTCTGGTCAAAGGCTGGTAGTAGGGCTATCAAAAGCCGAATGTTCATACATCTATTTATGTGTCGTGTCCATGTCTGTCTGTGTATATAAAGGGCATATAAGAAGTGTGTGTCTGAAACAAGGCTAAGATTTAGAAACGAACGTAGATGCTCGACAAGTTCTAGCGCCAGTTCGGGCTGTAGCGGAAGATTTCTCAAGATTAAATTTAATCTTGGTCTGTTTAGCAGCCGCAAGAAGCGGGTAACAAAAAGGAAAGAAGCGAGATTTAAGTATAAAATGGAGAAGACGAACAAAACTAGACTGGGCACCTGGGTTGGAGTTCATCTAAACGGGGCTGAGCATTTATTCATGTTCTGGTAACCCCTTTTGAATGCAATCAGATAACGTGAAAAAAATGCGAAAGATGACTTGGTCAAGCGATCACTGCGACATCAGTTTTTATGTATGACCCATTTTTGAAAAACCACTCATCAGGAAAACAGCCATCCTAGCGGAAATACTAATTGAACAGTAAGACAAACGTACAGCCATTTAAGAGAAGAACTTGTCAGGTGATAGTGATTCACTATACATCTTGATCTTCGCTGGTAATACAGACGCTCCGTCGAACTGACACTAACGACTTTTCAGAGATTAAAGGGTAGAAAAAGAGAGAGGACATTGTTTAAAAATCGCATCGCATTGAATGGAAAGGCAATGATGAAAGGTGCTATTGAATTAGACAGAAGTGAGCCTTTAGACGCTCTTCCAGATATATATATATATATACATATATAGTGAAGTTCAAGCTCGTACGTACAGGGAAAACTGTTCATTCCTTTAAAACAGGAGATGTCATAGCAGGATTATCATACGATTAACCTATGGCGACAGCGCTATGCACAAAAGCCGCTTTGAGGCTTTGTATGCTATCACGTGTACGCACGCACGCACGCACGCACGCACGCCTTCCAAATCCTGGCTTCCTCTAGGAGTTTCATATGCTATTTGCCCTGTATGACTACATGATATTAAATAACAACATGTCAAAGCTACCCCGCGGAGCAGTGTGGTTTCGCATCAATTTCTAGTCACCGCTACTTTATTCGGATTGAATCACTAATTGGTAAACGAATGCTTTTCGTGTCGCTTTGGGCCTGTACGAGATGAGACTGTTCATATTACTAGAGACTTGTTTATCATCGATAGTGTTCTACTTTAGGTTAAGTGATCTATCACTTTGATAGCTAGAAGCTATGTTGTTCTGCACAGAACGAAGCGAAACAGCTTCCAGCCAATGGAAATTGTTGTTGAAAGACAGCCTGCTTTATGCGGTCCATTTCAACAAGCGTTTGCTTTCAAGCCAGTACAAGATAACGACCGGCGCGGATGCTAGGACTGTGGCTACGATCATGCTATATCGTTATTGCCACTGTCAAATTGAAGGATGAGGTCATTAAGGGCTGCTTTAGATAAGTAATGAACACTTGGAATTGAAATAATTTTTATAGATCTGAATAGGCTTTGTTAGTATTTTTTTTTCACCAATAATTACCTCTCCCTAGTACTAATGCAGCTGATTTGTACAGCTGATAAACAGGATAACTAGCTCACAAAAGCAATAAGCCGACGTTTCTAGTCAAACAGATACAAACAGTTAGGGCAAGTGCAATAACTGCAATACTATCTAGCGTCCGTGTAAATCCAAAGCTAATCCCAGACACAAACTCTCTCTGGATTTGCGCAAGGTACCTGCTTCCAGTACGTGGGCTTGCAACGAACCACGGAAACGATGTATTTCGAAAAATTATCACACAACTACACCATGTTTATCAAGGCATGCAAACCGAATATCAATAGACCAGTCGTTTACTGGTGTATATAAAGGCGTTCCACTTCAAACACCGTCCGATCACCAGCGAACAAATTCCTATGTTTGTTACGTAAATTAATTATATAAGAATAAAGCTAGTAACATAGCACAGCATCTATAGAAAGCCTATAAAAATAGAACTTTTTAGCGATGATAAATTACTCGAGGGTGTCACATTGTATTTTCTGCGTTATCACTTAGCTTGCGAACATCCATCCTTGGAATCAAGATAAACAAACTCTATTCAGTTTCAGCGATATGCGATATGGATCATCTATTAGGAATCAATTTTGAGACGCCCGATACTATTCGGCTAGATACATTACGTCTATATGACTATTACAAACCTCCTGTGGGATTACCTCGATTACGGTAACGCCCATTTGTTTATAACAAATGGCAACACTGCGACCTCTATACATTGAGATTTGAATAAGACGAATCCGTTCGATATTGCTGATATTCGATGGTTAGTATAGTCTATGGCACTGACGCAGGCCATTAGGACAATACTGGAGTCGATTTATACGAAACGTTTTGCATAGATTAAACTGTATTAAGCGGACAAGTGTATATCACGTAACTTTGAAATTTTGGATTCAGCTACCGTGTAGAACCTCATATCTATAGGCCATATCCTGTTACAACTAGCAGTAGACATGCTTGGAATATCTATACAGATGATCCATAAATAGGCAACTTTCTCGATTGGCGAGTGTGTGATGTATGTTTCAACGAGCAATTACTATTATGAAAAGTCAAGCCTAAAACCGACGATCTTCGTATTTACGTTGTACCGTCTCATACTGGTTGACGTCGATTGAACATTCTATTACTTGATCCCCCAGCCACTGGTTGTCTGCATTTGATGCACAGAACATGGATACGATCGATGTTCCCCTGTCTGCATAATGTGTCACGACCAAATCGTTTTGCGGACGGAAGAGGAACGGTGGCAC